CTCACCAACATTTGGTGTGGTCACTGTTTTTTTATTTTAGCCATTTTTATAGGTAGGTAGTGATATCTATGATTTTAACTTGCATTTTCCTAATGGCTAATGATATTGAACATCTTTCCATTTCTTCAATGATATATTTGTTTATGTCTTTTACACATTATCTAATTATATTTCTGTTTAATTCTTGAATTATGAGTTTGTACATAATTTCTTCCAGTCTTTAGCCTATGTTTTTATCCTCTTGAAAGGGTCATTTGCAAAACAAAGTTTTTAATTTTGATTAACCAAATTTATCAGTTCTTCTTTTATGGAGTCTGAGAATTTCTTGCCTAGACCTATTTCCAAAGATTTTCTCTTATTTTATTTTCTAAAAGTTTGCAAAATTATTTTAGGTATTTTAGTCCCTTTGCCTTTTCATATAAATTGTAGAATAATCTTTATATCGACAAAAAGCCTTGCTGGGATTTTGTTAGGAATTGCATTAAACGTGTATGTATATTAATTTGGAGAGAATTAACATATTAACTGTATTATTGAGTTTTCACTTCTAAAATTTATATTTCATTGTGGTCTTTTTTTGCTTTTTTCTATTTGTTTTAATATGTTCATAATTTCTTGTTGAAGCATTTTTATGACTATTCTAAAATATTTCTCAGATAATTCTAACATTTTGTCATCTTGGTATTGGCCTTGATTAATTTTCCTTTTTCATTAAGTTTGGAATTTTCTTGGCTCTTGGTATGATGAGTTATTTTTAATTAAAACATGGACATTTTGGGTATTATGTTACAAGACTCTATATGTTACTTCTGTTTTAGCAGTCTTGGTTTTAAAACTCCTGGCAGGGAAAGGAAGGGAGGGTGTCATATTATTACTCTTCCTACCAGATAGGGATACAAGTCTAGGTTTTCTTCTCAGTCTCTGTTGACACCTGAGGCCAGGAGGTGCGTTTTACTGATGGGCAAGGGTGGGCCCCCTCTTGGGTAGGGTTACCTCATTACTGCTCCCCTGACAACAGTGGGGGATGGCCTCGCTACCTCTGGGTGGTGCTCAAAGCCCTGCCTCTCCCCTAGGGCTTCTCTGACACCACCCAGTGCAGGAGGTGGAGGAGGTATGTGTTGTGGTAGTGGAGGCAGAGGTCCAGGTTCCCCAAGTGATCTCCTGGGTCACTGCAGGAGGCCTGTAACTGGTTTCTTGTTCAACCTGCTCTGACATGACCTGGTAGGAGGCCAAGGCATGTCATTAATCCTATTAAGGGAGGAAGTCTAGGCTCCCCACTCAGCTTCTGAGAGTGTGGGTGATGAGATATCTAGTGTTCTCTCTGCTGTTTAGCTGGAGTCCAGTGGTCATTGTCTAAAATTTTATTACCTTGCTAGTTTTCCCTTTTCTGATTCTCTGGCTTTGTGGATGCTTTAAAATTGTTTCCTCAAAACCTGCTTCGAAGGGTGTGAATGAGGGCATACTGAGAACAAACAATCTTCAGTCATTTAATTATTTTCTTTCTTTTGTTTTAGAAAGTGAAACTCACTATAGGCCGGATCCCAAATTCCGAGAAATTCCACGCTAAAAACTGTACATGCTCCTTAAAATACCAAGATGATGTACCTTCTGAATTGGAAAAGTCTGAACTGGAGAGGGCACCGAAGAGGAGCCCAGCCATTAGAAAGGGTTATGAGG